TTGGACTCATCTCCCAGAATGCGGTTCGCATGATCCTACCTGTACATAGTTGGAGATGCTGCAAGGTATGGCTTCTAATCGATGTCACTGGCGTTCCCGTTGTCAGTTCCTAGCTAGACTTTCTGGATGAGTGTCTCGAGGTGTAGGGGAATGGTTTTGATGGGCTTACACCAAGTCCCTTCGCCATTTACTTTTATTCGTTTCTTCACAATGAAACTTTCAAATAAATTGCGCTTGTACGGTAGCGAAGTATCAGTGTTGAACACTCCTGTCGAGCTGTCGATAATCATTATTTTATTTACTCAAGACTGTATTTCTTTATGTACGAATAATTCAGCCTACACACTCATTTGAGGAAGTAGGGGGCGACAGGCCCTTCAGATCAGCTGGACTCATCTCCCAGAATGCGGTTCGCATGATCCTACCTGTACATAGTTGGAGATGCTGCAAGGTATGGCTTCTAATCGATGTCACTGGCGTTCCCGTTGTCAGTTCCTAGCTAGACTTTCTGGATGAGTGTCTCGAGGTGTAGGGGAATGGTTTTGATGGGCTTACACCAAGTCCCTTCGCCATTTACTTTTATTCGTTTCTTCACAATGAAACTTTCAAATAAATTGCGCTTGTACGGTAGCGAAGTATCAGTGTTGAACACTCCTGTCGAGCTGTCGATAATCATTATTTGTATTTACTCAGACTGTATTTCTTTATGTACGAATAATTCAGCCTACACACTCATTTGAGGAAGTAGGGGGCGACAGGCCCTTCAGATCAGCCGATTTTAGTATTTTTGAACTCGTGTCGTTGTCTTGCATTTACTGTACCTCGTTTTATGTGCGGACACAACGATATGGATAAACAGAACAAACAAACGAATCTCTTCTGATAATTATCATTTGAGCCGCACATTCATCGATGAGGCGGTTGCACCATACAATGCTTTTTTCACGGTAGTGGCCTACATTCGGTTTTTATCATCTCTGATTCCAAAGTGTCGAATGGGAACATTGCTCACGCGACATGGCTTCATTGGGTCAGCTGTCATGTTTGTACTTCTCGAACATATTGAAACCAAGCAGCGACAGCATAAGGAGACATTCAGAATCCTAAGTCTACACAAATTTACAAATCTCAAACAAGCATTGTTCTCATCAGTTATTCCACCTTGTGTCAAATCCAAGGATTATGTCATTTCTTACACAGCGTCTTTTTTCAGATGACCTAGACTAAGTGTAAAGCAACAACCAATACAGCTTTGGTCACCTGATCTCAATCACACCTCTCCCTCACCCAGCAGAAACCAAAACTTGTTGATTTCAAATTCGTGTTCATCATGACGACGATGAATAGGACGGCATTTTGGCTTACACTTTCCGCTTATCATGTCCAGTGTTTGGTGCTTCCTATACTAAGTTGTCTCCTAATAATGGAACCGCTTTGTACTCCCCCAAGCCAGTTCATTGAGCTTCGCCCACTTATCTCTTACCCATTATCTTCGTGTCCGCGAATTACGACTATGTTCCACATTGACCTTTTGCATGCGTCCTATGTCTTTATCTCAAGCGCGTCTGCTGTGCATTCGAGGGGTGTCCGTTTTCAGACACTATTTTTTCAATTCGCCGAGATGTACGATCAACGTTTTTTTGTTTTTTCTCTCTAGTTGCTTGATTTTCTCTATTATGCACCAGTTTCAAACTCCTTTTGTTGATGTTAACGACTCTTCAGAGGTATCAGCCTTTAGAATATCTTAGGAGCAGTCTACCTACAGCGATCGTAGTGCGTAACCTTTTTCGCAAACTCGGAAGGTGGCGTGGTACTGAACTAGGAGCATTCAGCTATTCTTTTTCGTGAGTATTAGGTTGCTCCACGTTTTCACATCCGTCTATTTGTCTTTTTGCCTATTGGTTTGGTTGGCTTCAATTGCTTTTGGTTGTCTGACTACAGCGGAAACCCACTATAACGAGCCTACTGGGCTCAGTAAGTTCTTGATTGCAATGAAAGCCTGTTCATAGGGTACCCACCCGTTACTCAGTAATGTGTTGTTCATTCTATTGGCAGCCTGAAATCGTCTGCACAAGTAATAATCTATGCCTCGATGAGTCCCTACATTGTTCTAATGTTCTATTTCGCTCATTCCTGTAGGTATGCCTACCAACTACAATTGCTGCGGTGGCCGTCTCAAAGCCGTACGATCTCATGGAAGGTTGGGGGCTCGAGGAGGATCCGTTGGTGTTTTGCTTCGGTCATGTCAACCCGGCGAGTAATCTCAACCTGTTCCGTGAGCAAGTAAGCTCGGGCTGACCAGGGCTGGCAGGATTTGATAATTTTAGTAGAGTTTGATGGTTGCCAAACAAGTCTTTCAGAAGGGAGATTTTGCCCAGGGATCCACTTATTTTCACAGCGCAGTGCTCTTTCGAATTTGACTGAGCATGCTTAGAACGTGACATTGTGATGTGAATTCATAATTTTTCCGACCAGTTCAATTTTGTCCGGTGTCATATATTTTCGAAGTCCCGTCGCCCGGTGTTAGGCACACATATGCCACCAACAGCATGTAGTACATTGCACCACAAGGATGTGGTACACCTGTGTTGCAAGCATAGTTTCATATTGGTAGACAGGGGGATCTGCTAAATCTTCAACTGGAATTCAACTCGAAGCCTGGTCGGTTGAGGACATCACGCCGGGCACTCGTCGACGTTTCCAGTCTGGTAGTCGGGGTGGCCTTCGGTCCATACGAAACGTAAGGCACGCACTGCTAGACTCCAAACTCTTAAGAGTGTTTTTTCCCGTTTCAGCCATTCAAAATGTCTCGTGGGCTGTAGACTTCATAGTAGCGTAGAGCTTCCCGAGGGACCGTATCTTATCACGTCCTTTTCGTTGTGATTTAACTTCACTGGTTATGTGCAACATGTGAATCCACCGTGTATGTTTCGTTTTTCACTAACCTGCCTAAGTTGCATTCTGTCGAGGAATTTTTGAACACCTGGTTGATCAGACAGAGCTGGTGATGAGCTTTGGAGTATGTGCTTCTCTGCACCTTCCCTAATGCTACCGGGTCACAATCAGAAGACAAGAAGTCGGCCAGAAAACTGTTAATGCAAAGCGTTTCATTTATATCATTCACTTGCGACTGATCGATTTATTCTCAACCAACCAGTGTGCAGGCTCACACCGGTTCTCGAGCGGTTGTTTTCTTTGTGAGGGGTAGTCATGGCTGGCCGTCTGTGCGCTTGGCTACGGAGCGCACATGTTGCCTTGGCCTTGGTGGGCTTGAAATGCATCTGTGCTTTTTGACCTTTGCTCCGGCACATGATGAAATCGGACTTGATACGCGTGGGCGCAAAGCGTTTCATTTATATCATTCACTTGCGACTGATCGATTTATTCTCAACCAACCAGTGTGCAGGCTCACACCGGTTCTCGAGCGGTTGTTTTCTTTGTGAGGGGTAGTCATGGCTGGCCGTCTGTGCGCTTGGCTACGGAGCGCACATGTTGCCTTGGCCTTGGTGGGCTTGAAATGCATCTGTGCTTTTTGACCTTTGCTCCGGCACATGATGAAATCGGACTTGATTCACACGCGTGGGCGTACATGTACAGCACTGTTTCACCACATGATTGTTCCGCTACACAGCAGGCTGATATGCGGCCGTATTAATGACCTCAGGACGTCTATTGACTCACTGTGCATACACTTCGCTCATGATTGACACAGCATATCAGCCCTCGGTTTATTTCAAGTAGGCGGTTAATTCACTATATTGGCGTGAGGAGTTTATGGGATAGTTTGTTGTGGCGATTTAAGAATGACTCCCAGAGTCTGATTTTCGATACAGAACGTAAAACAGGGGTATCTGAAAATATAGCTCCGATGGAAGATTACGCCGGCACCCTAGTAAGTTCCCAAAGGAGTTGGTGTCCGCTTTTTTACGCATATTTCCTATGGATTATGCCCTTGGGCAGTCCGACGGTTTCTTTGAGACCGGGTTCGCACCAGGTGTTTTTACATGTCAGAAACTTGTGTTTTGATTAACTCGAGGTAGCACAGTAGTTAAAGTGTGAGGCTACTGGTCGAGAGGTCCTTTGTTTGAACCCAAACCTGGCTTATTGGTCACTCTTCCGTAGAATTGGGTAACCCCCTAGTATCTCCGTCATTGCGGTGTCGAAATGATGCCACGCATTAGATTCTAGATGCAAAGACGTAGCAGCGAACTTCGGCACAAATTGAAAAAAGACAAGCTGATTCCTACGGTTTTCGAACATTAAGTGAAAGAAATCAACTGCTGTATTTCGCTGCCTCTCTCTCCTTTCTACTGAATGAAACAAGTAAAAGAAGTAGAACGGGACAACAGTTTTATCGTTTGGTTGCTGCGAACGCTTCAAGATTATGCCAAGGATATTGCTAGTTTCTTTGTGCACTCATTTATTTTCATCACCTGATTCAGCCTTAAGGTCCGTTGCTCTGCACACGATTTGAAGCAGCCCTGGGGTCGATCCTACCCACAGTGTGTGAGTGGTAGACCACAGATGGTGTGTAAATAGGTCGTACACTCGCCCTTGGATATGAAGTTGGGTGCAGTGGAACGGATCGACTCATTCTTTTTTTATGCGAATCAAGCTCTCTTCCACCATCCTAGATCGAGCATGTCTCGATTCCGCGTGGTTAGGTGATCGGTCAACCATGCACAAACGAAACCGAGTTTGTCTTAATGAGATAATGACGATTTGATTCCATATGCCAACAAGGACCTAAACTGACCAACTTCACTTCCCGAGGTCGCTTTCTCTTACAAGGATATCTTGACAGATGTTATTTCCGACGATAGTGGCAGTCGTGAAATGTTGTTTCAAACTAGAGATTGTTTGGGCATAATGTTCCCAGATCCTTGTAGGATGAAGAATTTGTTGACTTTCTGCAACACATGTAACTGAACATTTCCGCTTGGTGGCCTGCTCACTTGGCCTGATGAAGCTTTTGTATCAAAGGTGAAACGTTGCCCAGTTGAAAACTACCGATTGTTTACCGAGCCCTTCTGAAACGAAGTAGTGTTATCCCACCCGCTCAGACGAATAAGATTAACCGTTTTCTCTCACGTTCCCTGTTTTTTGTTTAGGTAAATCGGCTTGCCGAGCTGGTCAACATCCGATCGGAAAATGACACAAAAATTTTTACAAGTGGCTGTATTATTAACATGAACGGATTCCGCAAAGACGATTCCGATGGTGGCACGAGCAAGGAGAAGGGCATCCAGGCAATACGTGCGACAGCCGCAGCGTTCGAAGTAAGTCTGTATCCGCGGTTCTAGTCGATACACGTCGCCATAAATGTGGCACTAGAATCCGGCATCGATCGAAACAGTAAACTGAGCCTATAGGATAATTGGGTGGTCATTTATCCCTCCAATCAATAACCCCATAGCTTGTCACCTGACTGCTTTCCAGTAAAGAGAACTGTATTCTTATCACAGGTAACTTGTGCGCTTGTGAACAAGCAGCTTTTCCAGTCCCATTACCTCCAAAACCAAACTCTCTTACGTGGACCAGACGAAATTATTTTGAGAATTCTAGATCCCGATCATCAGTAAGTGGTGGACCGGCGATTCCAGAAACCCTAGGATTCGAAAGAAACCAGAATCGGTCCATACATGTAGTGGCAATCTTACTCATCGAACATGGATGATACTCAATTTTGTGGGAAAAGGCCCAGCGATTTGACAACAATTCGTTGTAGTTGAAAATTCTCCTGAAGTCCTCATCCTCCACACGACTAAAATCGGTAACATGGATATGCGAATGTGTATTTGTCACCGAAAGGAGCAGAAAATAAGGCGCGTGGCTACTGCCTCCAGTCCTTGCTATGTTCCTCTTTGGAGCGCCTGCAGTGGTCGTTTAGGGACCCAGGAGCATAGATTCTCAGGAAGCTTCCTGAGAACCTGTCCTCCCTCCCAGACTCCTGAAACAACTGCTTCAGGTGTCCCACAGAGAAAGACCTCTCTCATAAGTAGGACTGGAGGAGACAGTTATGTGTCTTATTTTTTGCTAATTTCGGTGACAAATTTATAGTTGAATGGCTTGGTGGCTAAAATGTGGGCTTACTAACCGTAGGGTCCATGGTTCTAATCCAACCTCCGCATTTCGGCTACCCCTGTCTGGGCTTGGGCAATTTGGAGATCCTCGTGCTCCCTTCGAGTGGCATGGCAACTAGGCACCGAAAGGGTGCTACAGGTGAACCATCATATTTATTGTAATTTATATCTATCTGCAGTCAGAACTCACGGAACCGTACGGAGTCTGCCTGTGGGTCCATCTACAGTGAGCTTACCACAATTCTTCAAATAAATTAAACGTGCAAATCCCGTCACTTTGCTGCCAACTGTCAGAAACCTCACATATGTGGATATGGTCTACTCTGACCTACGTCCGTGGCTTTTCCTATCTAATACCGTCTATATTCCATGTCCTAGCTTACATCCTTCAACTTTTATCTGCTTTATCGGAGCGCGCTGGAAGACGATTTTGAAAGTGCATTGTGGTTTAGACTACTTCACGCCTAGACGCGCGTCATTCTAGTGAGCGTATGTCGTACAAATGATCATAAACCCATAAGGTTACCGATGAAAGACTTATATTTTCTTAACTGTGACGCCAATTGCGGATGTGGAGCGTTTTCTCTTGTCATTCTTCATCGCTTCTCTGGAAAACTCGTACCGTCCATTCGATTCGGCTATCTTGTCGCGATAAACTCCGATTCAAACTGCCTTAAAGCAGCTTCATCATCCGCCTGCGTCGTACGCGTACCGATGATTTGAGCGTGTGTTGTGCTCTCTAGATGTCCTGATAGTATTCGGCCAATGATGTCGAGGTCAACATGTTCGCTTCCACTCGAAAATCTAAATAATCGGTTATGTGCTGCCTTGTCCGATTGTTGATTTACTTCAATCCCCATGCGAAGCACATCATGACCTACTTTTAAAATTCAACTCCGTTTGGGTAACCGCGGATACCCTAAATATCAACATATTAACCGTGTTAGTTGGTTTGTTGTTTGCACGGGACCCAGGCTAGCCGTTGATCAATCCTACGAAACTGGAGCCATTTGAACGTTTTTTCGCTGAACTAAGCAATGCTTTGTTGCAGCCTCTTACCCCGTATAACTGGTGATTTATTGACCAGATCCGCTTGCCTATTTGTCAAACCGACGTGCGGTGCACTCAATTTTCCAGTACTGTTAGGAGAAAAGTCGTAGGTCTTTGGCGCTGTTCTGTACGTGATGATTGCCTTGCACTGTGCTTTCGTCAGTCGCAGTCTAGTCTCAGTCCAATTAGACATTTTTTCACCTCGAACCTTCCGTAAACTCCATTATACCCCGCCATCCACCACTTTTTGTCCACATCACTACACATCATTCTCAGCGTCCTAATGCAACAGAACATCTGATGTCGACAGACGTTTTTCGCAGCTTTTCCTCTCCTCTGATCGTGCTCGTTACAGTGTGTTGACGGGATGTCTGTGCGCTAATTTCCGCCCACAGACCGTATTTCAATACTGGTGGCATTTTTGAAACCATATCACTCCAGTCAAAAGTACTTCGTCACTTTTCATTCTGTTTTATTTGTAACAGTTGTACAACACCATTAGCAATATCACGTAAAATGTATCAATGTAATATGTTTTTGGACAAGCGATTTTCGAACCATAGTTGGCTAACTTTTAAAATTAACTGGCACTCTCGTAGAAGATAAGCTAATTTTTCTCTCAACATTACTGAGCTGTGAATTATTTTCAAAGTGATCCTTGGAATGACTCACGCTGAACAGAGCACCATAAACGGAGTTCGAAACTTTGGTCCTATGTTCAGGCTCAAAACATAAGCAACAAACGCACTAGGTAATGGGGTAGGTGTGTTTCAATTCAATTCAGTGGCAAAGGTTTGCACTTCGAAAGAATCATTGTTTCCGAAAGTTGCCCTGGTGTGAGCAGGTTAGTGACGGCTGTGTCCATGATGGTAACTGTTGCATAGGGAACGTGCAAACAATGACCACGGCAAACATTATAACAGGAGCTCCCGATGACCGACCTCGCCAGGGTGTGACTGAGCGAAATGAGAACGTATTATTTATGACTTGAGCTGTCTAGAGACTTGCTACTTATATGCAAGCTAACACCTAATAAAACGAACGATGGAAATCACATCGCCAGCGCACTTCTTCAGAGACGACGACCTGACTGTCAATGGCGTTTTGCTATTACACCACTGAGAATCATGTCGAATTCCACAAACGAAGCTTTGGCGGATGGACATGAAAAGCCTTTTTCGAGAGATTCGATTTTAGCCTTCAAACTAATACATAGCGGAAGATAACTCTTCTCATTAAGAACTTATGGCGTATCTTTTCTTTCCTTGGATTTTATATATCCCAGATAGGATGCGACCCCCTTAGGCTGTAAAATTACTTATTATCGTCGATGGCATTACCAGTGTTACATACCGGCACTTCATTACCCGTGGTGAAGCGGTTAGTGGCAGATCTGCCATCATACCAAAGCGGTATTTGAATTTATGATGGTAGTTAACTGGGGTAGCTTGATATTGACGAGGCTATACATTCCTCAGTACACTGGACCAAGCAAATCATCATCGCTTTTAAGAATTTCATGTGTATTTGCGATAGTTGGCCGCACAGAGGGTTCACGAGCGAAAGCTCCTCCGGCGCTACGTGGAAAAATGGATTTTTGCCGCCCCAGCTAATAAACTAAATATCTGTAAGTCAGAGTCGGTATTTCCGGCAAACACTGGAGACTATTTTGAACACATCACCAGTGTTATTCGAACTTGACCTCAGAAAGTGGCTGAAATCACTCCAAAAGTAGTCAAACCATGCCGTGAGCTTTCAACAGTGCTATCCACCTTATTTTCATCTCTCCAGGTCGATACGATACTCGTCATAGAGGATGGTTTCCTCGAAACATTCCTGCGTGAAGATCTACCGCCGGAAGTTACCATCGCTCGTTTGCCAAAATCCTCAGGTGTTGTAACACGCAGTGCGGATCAGTGGACCAGACAACGCGATGCGCGCGTATGTGCCTATCTACATGGAGAAAATCCTTTCAGACGCCTGCACCCCCATCAAATCACGCTTAAAACCAGTGAAGTAAATTTCTGTAGTATCACGTCTGGTAAATATTATTTACTACTTATCACGTAACGCTCAAGTTCTAGCTTGACAATTTCAATATCGATGGATCCCGAGACAACAGATTATCCCCTATCAAAATCGGAAAGCAACCAATCATTTCCCCGCTTTCTTTCTGCTCGAGGTTGCCCCTAAAGCTTAGTCTAGGCGACCAAATGACCTCACCTCGGTCGCGCCAACTTCATATTCTTCAGGATAGAACAAAGAGACTAGCTGTTGCACGGTACAGTGGATGTATTTCGCTGTCGCTTCCGATATACAATACAGAACATTGTCAGATAAATCAAACAGATCAAGTCTTTGTTATCAGGGTACCGAAAAGATGTCGGTCCCAGCGACATGACCGATCCCTTCTGTTTACATAATTTTGGCCTCGATCCTCTGATCTCAATGAATTCAGTAAACTAACATCTTAACGTGGGTAGCCCTACGCGGTGTGGAATACAGTTACCGGATCGACAGCCACCTTCAATTAAATAACGGGCTGTGGACGAAGCCGGTATTGATGGTGCATTTGTCTCCGGATTTAAATTTGTATCTGGTCTTTGTGAGACGGACTGACTCATACATTGCTGAATCCAAATCGGAATGCATTTAATCTGTCTACGTAGAAGTTATCCCTCAGTTCTGCCAGAAACCCACAGTAAGACAGTAAACGAAAGTGGACGGCGTACTGACCACAAGGGTCGGGATTCAGTTTCATTTGTAATGAATAGCGTAATTGGTTGGTTTTACAGCTGAGGCCCAACGCGTTTCAACGGTAAGCAGGAGAAATAAGCTTAGCTCGGACGAAGTCTCAAAAACCAATGAGACAGTGCTGGGAAGAAACGGCTACCTCACCTGATTCATCGAAAACAACGGGGCGGAGTAAAATCAGACCAACTGGGAACGCGAACGGCTCAAACGACTGTACATATAGCATGTAGGAATGATACGTCTGAGAAAAGATGCACGATCACTGTATGGTGCACGTGGAAGAGTTTTCGCTAGATGTCATGATATAAGAACATTTAGTGCAACCAAAATATGGTTAAATCGATTTCGTGCCTGCGAATTGCGGTGTTTGAATTGCAAGATCCGATGCATGGATAAAACTAGCGGGCAAATGCCGCCTTTGAACACGGTGTCATTATTATTGTATAATGGGGCTTCGTAATATGATCACTGACCTAAATTCACGAGAGTTCAGTATTCCTAATCCGCTCTCGAAATTCCGATCGAAGCGGTATCCAGTCCATTTTCGCATTACCTACTCGAGAATGTTAAGAGACCCTCACCCGTGCTTCATCATAGTTTCACTACGGTACTCAGTGGTGAAATTTCATCCCATACAATCTGCTCTGGCTACGCCTGTTCTTTTTACTCCTCAATATGTCCACGAAGCCCACATCTTAAACGCCTTATAATCGTTTGCCGACGCCATCGCACTATTTTTCAGTACTCAATCTACAAGGTAGGCAGTGAGGCCATTCCCGATGCTCTACTCCCGCACGGCGCAAAAGAGGATGAAGAAACGTGGAGGAATCCAGTTTTGGTCCCGATAGGCCGGGATCTGAAAAACCACCTACTCGCTGTGTCTCAAGCTTCTGAGCCTCAGCATGTTCCAGATGCACCAGTTTACGGTTTCGTAGTGATTGTAAATGTTGCTGATGACAAATCGTCTTTCACTGTCCTCAGTCCGTGTCCGTATGCTCCCCCAAACAATTTGTTCTTACTCACTACCATATGTTATGTCGATCCCGAACTTATTTGAATTTGTCGAATGGCTATCACATTGTTTTTGCTATGTTTGTACGGTTACGGTTGTACATACAATGAAAATAATCAATGTATTAAATGACCGTTGTGCTGTTTGTTTGCTGATAGCATTCTCGTCACCTATGAGTTATCCTTGCTATTTATCAAGTATTTGTGCATGGTTTTAAGATTGCTGCCGTGCTAGTTCTAGTGGTGACCAAGACCGTTTGGTTCTTCATTCAGTGGATAGGTCATGGGGACGGATGACCCATCCCATCCGTACGAACAGCCGGAAAGCATAGGTTGATTACGTTACTCAGTGGCAAAAGTAAAATAACACATTGACTTATATTACCACCTATTACCAGCCTATGATCGTTTCAGCCCTACGTGTGGCTTGGAGAAAAATACTTCACAAAGACTCAGCTTTGACATACGACCTTTCTTTGTCCACCCATCAAATCCGGTTGAGTGTTATTAGCTCAAGGGGTGCAACAAACAGCATGCGTAGTAAGACGTCCGCAGCGGAGAAATTGTGTCCCTTCTGTGGTTCTATGCCCCATTAGATTTCGTTCAGTGTTCGTTCGGGTCAGCTGGGTACCCCTCATTCTTATAGGCGATTTACTGATCTAGTTTTATTTTCGAGGGCCCAGATGAACACACGAGCGCGAGCGGGATTCATATGAGATAGAAAGCTAATGTTCGTACCACGAGTACCGTCACCTGAGTTATAACGGGCGGGTACGGCATAATTAGTGATTTTTTAACTAGCCTAGTCCGTTGATCGTTCACCCCACGCTTCTAATTTTTGAATAAAATTTATACCGATATCCAACGGCGTTCTCGCCTACTGCACTCTCGCAGTCGCCGCGACCGAATCACTTGTTCGTCGGTCAGATTTGTATTCCTAGGTAATTCAGCACTGCGATTTCGGAGCGTGGTGGTCCGAAACCTACCAGGGCTTTGTCGCACACATGGTCGATAAATTGAGTCGAATAGATCAACCACTTCTGTCCAAAATCTCTTGGGGTCACACGGTATCTTATCCCCGGACAACTACGAAATTAGAAAGTAAATCACAAAAAAACATTGATGTCACATTGTGCAGTATACAGACGTTAGAATGGCGCGAACAGTCATCCCCAAAGAACGAAATGCTAAGTACAAGAAAAGCACGGAGACAAAGACAGTCGGACGTATACACAAATGTAGAGTGAGATAAATAATGACTAAGTGCGTGTGTAAGAAATAAAAGTCCACGTGAGGAATGAGAAGCACAGCGGGAGACTGTGACAGTGTCGTAAATGTATCATCTAGTTACCCTTTGGTTGCCTCCGTTCATCGTCATCAACTGCAGCCAGATTGACAGCAGCGGCGTACAACTGAATTAAGCTGATTGTAAACTTTCCAAATGCCACAGGCGCGGTCAGAAAAGCAGCCAGAGTGAATAGACCTTGACCACCAACTGAAATTAGACCGGATGGAAAGCAGATTAAGTGCTTCTGGAAGATGATATGTGATGTGAACACAATGGGATTTTGGATTTAAGGTGAAAACAAATCTATTCAAAGATCCTATGGATCAGGTTTCGCAAGACGATGGGCAGCAAAGTACACTTCACGCTATCACTATCGATAACCTAATTCTCTCTTAAGGACGACTGGATTAAATAGATCGAGTGGTAGGCAACCTTCTCACTGACTTGTCAATATTGGAAGCCGGGACTTGCCTATCCTTTGAAAATCCTAAGAAGCGTACTTCCATAAACCTAGAAAAAATATAGGAATGTGGCATCATTTCAAGGCACATTTGGTAAACGTCATATGAAGTTCGTCCGCGAATGCCCAAACTCATCGGTGATTTATCTCTGTGTTCTGGGATTTATCCTTCCACTGCCTCTTAATTTTGCATCCTTGACAGGTCACCAGTTCTGTATAGATTTTATCTTGCCGATTTGTAGTCAACGTGTTAAAGTTTACTTGGTTGCCATCTTACTGAGTTTTCTCCAGATTATCGACCTCTAATGTTAAACTGTATCACAAGCGTGGATTAACAGCCGCTCAACGGTCTTCTTGGTGCAATCGTCCTTGTTCCCAAGCACTGAAGCAGTATTCCAGAGTTCTTGTGTTGTTGTGGCACAACGGCTGCTCGCGACGATTTAGTATTGCGTCGAACCTACAGGAAACGAAATCGTTTAGGGGAGATAAGATGATATACCTTTTGTTCTCACTATCGTGGAGGCCCGTGTGTGTGTGCTTCAAACCGAAGTGGTTCATAATGACTGTCACTACGATCCTAAGGTGTGTTAAAATAGTTCTTAAGATCTGTTTAGAGGGTCGTTGATCCGAAGGATTGCTAGATTAAATTCAACCAATCGGATCAATCGGCCACCAAACGTAAACTAAGGACATCGGCTGCCTATGGACGCAAGGAATGACCTACTGCAACTGATAACAGCACAGAGATCAGTGCCACTAGTTACTCATATATCTCTTATCATTCCTGACATACAGTATCGTTGAATTCTGGAGGAAACTTATTCCGTCATCCAACTTTGACTTCGAGCAGTGCGCCCCGATCCAAACGGCCGACACAGTATTAAACTAGGATACGAATCCTCGTGTGACTCAAGTATATGCAGTCCACCGTTTCTCACGCATGACTCCCTCGTCGATTGTTACAATATACCCGCCTCCAAACCTCTAGTCTTTGTTGATATCACTTGTAGGTGTGCGATTCGTGGTTGTTACTGCAGCGAGGCTCAGTATTGTTACTGCAGCGAGGCGTCAGTATATGTCATGCTGTCGATGGTGATATGCAGTCACACAATACATATCGGAAGGAATTCAGGAGAAAGTTGGTATTGTGAGAGTTTGAGATTTTCGAAGGCGATTCAGTCCTGTACGTGGAGCCATTCTGTGCCGAGAGGCACTGTACAACTGCTTCAAGCGCACTACGGATGATTCCCAGTAAGGACCAAACAGCTGTACAGAACTTGTCGGCTTTTTAGTACAGGTCAGCTTCAGTTTTGGTTTTCCCAGTGGGGCATAATTAATTGGGACCTCACAATAAGATGCAAGCCAGGACCTCAAACTAAGTCATCAATTACCTCAAGGTGGACTAAAAACGGGTATGGTTGAAAGCCAGTGCTTCGGATGATGAGAAGCATAAAAAATGCTTTCCAACGGTAGTCAGTTCAAAAGTCATCAGAGTTGCGCAAGCCATTGTGTCCACGTGGAATAGTTTGTTCAGTAATCAAGCAAGGGGAAAATAATGTTCTGCAGACACCACTCACTTTTTGGGCCTGTCGTGAAGTTAAGCACATACAATGCACTGTAAAATAATTCGTTTCCCATGCACATCAAGAATAGGACAATCTAGATAAACAGTCAGTGTGTTGTCGGTTGGAAACTACCATCATGTACCTTACTATGATAATAAAACCGCAGCACAGAATTTCCGCCCAAATCAATCGCCTTGTGGGTTTGTCTGCCACCAGCAACTGAACTACAGACAAAAATAGGTATGAGCGTCAGATCGGGCTTACGTATGCAAATGCAACCAGTGACTGGCAATATCTACAAGCATACTCATCTGAAAAAGGAAGACGTAGTTCGGGTAGAAGGTAGCCAAGCAAGCCAACAGACACATTGTTGCACATCGGTCAACCAGCATGTCTAGCATGGCTCCGAAACGTGAACCTAAATGGACAGGAAGGTCAGGGATGAACTTGAAAGTTGGTTTACTTTGGTTGAGTGCTCGTGCAGCATATCCGTCTACTGCATCTAATAGGCCGGAAACGACGTAAGCGAAGACTGTCAGCCAGCAGTCGGTACGCATATGCCAGCATGAATAGACAAGGAGAATTATACGACCATAACCTGAAACACAAAATCATGTCAACTTGAGCCATCTTTCTGTGACAAAATAAAAATCAAGAATGACAGACAGACACAGAGTATTCCATGAAGATGTATAAAAATCAAGAATGACAGACAGAAACAGAGTATTCCATTGAAGATGTAAACTGAAGGGGTGCGATCAGAATGGGGATTAAGTATTCCAGAGGAGTGCTCTTTAGTAAAATTAATCAGGAGTCTCGTGCATGCTAGTTTTTAGGGAGGAAACTGGGGCGAAAGCTTCATCATATCTCAGCAGATGCCGTTTCGAGGCTCGCATTCACGTTTGCGAACAAGAAGGATGGGTCCGTGAACCACAACTACAGGGAGCCCCCCAACACTGTTCCGACTTTGTGCGCTACATAGCAAACGTAGGAGGAAAACAGTCACTTTTCTTGAGCTAAATCAAGGCTAAAATACTCAATCGTAATGCTTTTCATGCCCATGACTGCTTTGTAACCCGTACAAAGGCCAACCTACGATTATGTTGCTCCAGGTAACAGGAGTGACTGAGATCAGAAATGCGGTCAAACCGTCAAGGCTGGCGTCAAAACCAGTGGTTCCTACACGTTTATACGAAAAACGGAACAAGGAAAAGGGGGCTAATTAAGATGGAAGGAAGCTTCTATTTTGACGACGTGGTTTGATACGACTTGAAATAAATACCGTGATATTGGAAACTGATGACGAACTCGTGGGATTTTATCCGCCAAATGCATTACAACATCTTATCACAAATAGTGGGCATGAAAAAACGAAAGACATATAACCTGGTAAAATGACACGCACCTATGATGTTTGGAACAAATAAAAAGACCGAATTATCCGTCGCCGTCCTCGGCATCGCCCGATAAAGCTGAAAACAAGCGAAGAATAAAAGTGAAGCACCGTGGGGTCTATGAACCGCATTACCTTTTTGGTATATTTAGGCAATAGCTACGAGGCTCGTAGTCATCTATCATAACTGCAAGATAAAAAAATTCTTGTCCGGCAGTCGCTCTTCTCAAGTAGTTGTTGACGTCTGCTTGTGAGATCAAATACTACCTAGAAATAATACAACCAAACAACTCAAGACAGCTCACTGGTTAAGGCGCCAGCTTCCGGGCCGGAGAGTCCGTGGTTCGAACCCAGCCTCGCTATCTCAACTGCTCCTGCCTAGGCTTGAGCAACCTCGCAGTATCCCAGCCTTCGTACCTCCTGTCGTTGGCATGGCACCTATCCACCGGAAGAATGCTACAGCTGAGCGATTTGATTTTCTTCGATAAGTAGAGAGCTAAAAGCAGCAGCATTGATGTCTGAGTTAGTGTCATCAGTTACAATCCATATGTATTTTGTACGGATTTGTTCGTCGACCATGTGGAAAAAAACGATAAGGTAGCTACGCATTGGAGGTAATAGCCACTAACCTTGTGGGCTCAACCTATATATTTCGCTAATAGTTGGGGGCATAGTGTACATACACACCAAAGTTAATGGGTTGGATGCATGCATTCCAATAAGTGTGTACCTGGAGCTCAGACAGTTTCTACCACTAACATCCTACCATATCAAGGGAGACTAACTCGACCGGTGCTGCCTATTTGCCTGGTTATGAGCTTCGTGCCTCGCTATCAAACTATGATTCAACCTTTTTGTACCCCAGACATTGTTGAAAGAAAATGAATCCTACGAGAACCCGATGAACTAGCGTACAAAGCCCATACTTGTGGTTTATCACCGGATGATTTATTGCGCGTGAATTATTCCCTCAAAAACACCCAAACTAATTTAAAACAACTGAAAAGGTATTTCCACATGACTTGAGGGATGCTTCATAGGCACCAACGGTTGAGCACTAAGCTTCAACATCTGGCTACACCAACCAGTGAACGAACAGCAGAGTAGTGGATTCGACTCCTCAAAGACAAACTGGCGGTAAAACTATGTTGTAGAGTCTGCACACTGGAAAAAGCTGCCCGAACCTACAATCCCTTATGCCGATTTCATCATTAGTCAAAAAACCTTGAGCAGTGTATCTACTAGGACAAAAAACAAATTGTATATCACGCTTTTCCACGAACGGGTAAGTTCCGCCCAGTCCATTGGTGACTCTTTCCATATTATGCACACGAAATTAACACCATATGAATCACTTTGCAGGCTTTTCAATGAGGTCTGATCACGCTGCCTTATATGTCGTCAAAGATGATGACACTTATCTGGCGTTTATGGTATTCTTTGAATAAAGTAGGTGAACAAAGGCCGCGTCTTGTTTCATCTGGTACACCACTCGAAATATCGAAGTAACTTTTGACGGAACCCATCTGTCATGACTATATAACCCATACCTTTGCATAACCTATTAACTCGTGATTCTCATTCTATTTTCAGTTCATGTTCTACAGTTATTAGACGACTAAAGCGTACATTACGTCTTTCTATTCTGTCTCCTTTCTAATCCCGTCCTGGAACTACTCGACTCTCGCAACAATTGGTCACCGTAGACCGGAAATCTCTGGAAAGAACTATTCATGTGGTGTTCCGGCCAAAATTACCAAACGAAGATCAACTGATAGGAATGTCCACAAGTGGATGAAGCTAAACAGTACCATCCAACTGGCTGCAGTGACTTATCTGGGCACCATATGGCGATGCTCGAAGGACTGGAGTTCCGCTAAATCCAGTAAAATAGAGTCCGACTTAGTGGACCTTCTGTGATCTGTCAAGGACGATACCAAGAACTCCGAAACAGCTAATTCCATGGATTGGGGAACATATATCGGTGACTAATCGACACACTGGCATCTCGCTGGAAATCCCAAAGCTGGTCGTCCCATTCACACGCTGTTTTATAACGTATGAAGAATAGAAAAATGTGTAAAATACCGGTGCCTATCCAAAAAGTTATGAAACTAGATGTATCAGCTATCGCGGCGCGAAGAGACTGGACCTTATCGTAGTACGACGGTATGCGCAACTCAGTAACCCACTGAGCTGTACGGAGGATAGTCGTACAGCATCCAATCTCTCCTGCGAGGTTGATCAATGGATAGAGGTTCGATACAGTCTCCTGACCTTCCAGGTTAAGGGTTGGAATAAATGTGGTAACTACTGCAGCCGTCAGGCTTTTGAGCCAAACACTAGTTGAGGACCCCAATCATCCTTCTGCTTAGGTTTGGGTGACCTAGCAACATTATCAGCCAACATACAACTGGTATGTGTTACTGGTGTATTGCTGTCATTGATGATGATGCTATCGCGCTTTAAGCTCCATCAATCTCACAGGAAAAGTCTACGCCAACCCTCCACTTATGCGCCCTTCCTTAAAGCGAAAGTCTCGGGCTGGGCTAAATAAAGGGGTATTATCATGAATATTCTTTGTGCTCACATTGTCGTTTTGTATTAACCATGCTTTCGCCTTCATTTTCAGCTTATGTACGTCTATTCTTAGACAAGTAAAGCGCTACTCATTCCACGCTATTCATTCTTGTTCTCGCGCTCAATCAGAACCGATACTCTATTCGTAACAATTTACTTGTCTTAGAATACAATGGAACCGTTGCTGCGACCCAAGTGTTTCGACGCAGATCCTAATTCTCCAGACGCAACAACGCGTTGGAATCATTGGTTCCGAACCTTCCAAACGTTTCTGGGCACTGTCGAATCGCCCAA